TAGTAGAGACGGGGTTTCACCATGTTGACCAGGATGGTCTCGATCTCTTGACCTCGTGATCCACCCGCCTCGGCCTCCCAAAGTGCTGGGATTACAGGCTTGAGCCACCGCGCTCGGCGTTATCATTCCTTTCATTATTGCTCTTTTAACCTCAGTTTGCAATTGAGAAATAGACAAATTGTATATTATTCAGGCGATTTATTAAACATTACCTATAGAATATCACGTCTGTATTTTATATAAGTGTAAAATTTTACTAATAAAAAATGATTTATAGTATTCATAACAACTGCTGCATGCAAGAATACGAGTAGTCAACATTAAGCCCAACTCTATGTTCAGACCAACCATGCAACTGTAGATCAGAGGACATAAGACTTTGCATCTTAATTCCTAAATTTACAGTCAAAGACGTGTTCAGAGGTAAGTATTATGAATTCAATAAGAATCTAAAGTAAGTTCTTAAGGCAAATAGCAATAAACAGAAGAATCCTTAGTTTCTCATCTTCTGAAAACAGCTTCACAAATCATTTGGAAAATCAGCCTAGAAGTAAGTAGAAACTGCATTTCCCGTCCCCATTCTTGAAGCCAGTCTTTTTCAAGAAATGACGTAAGCAGCACCTGTTGTTGAAGACAGCAATAAAGGCTGGACCTGACGCTCAAGCTTTGGTACAGATCAGTTTTCTGGCTTGGACTGGTCAGAAGTCACTTCACTCAGAATCTTCATTAGTGAATTTAAGCGAGTGTGCATTAGCACTATCTTCTCTTTCAGCTAGGAAGAGAAATATATTGATATCAGGGCATCTTTTTAAATTTTTACTGATTTAAGAGACAGGGTCTCACTCTTGACCAAGCTGGAGTAAAGTGATGCAATCATAGCTGACTGCAGCCTCATGCTCCTGGGCTCAAGTGATCCTCCTACTTCAGCCTCCCAAGTAACTAGGATTACAGTCATGTGTTTTAAATTTTTTTTTGGTAGAGACAGGGTCTTGCTTTGCTGCCCAGGCTGGTCTTAAATTCCTGGTCCCCTGTGATCCTCCTGCCTTGGCCTCCCAAGGTGCTGGAATTATAGGCATGAGTCACCATTCCGGGCCAGATATCTGGGCATATTAAGCTTAAGTTTCAATTTGCTGGTCATCAAAGCCATTTCAAATTTAAGCTAGTTTATATCTAGTAATTGGGAGCTGGCAATGTCTAAATGCATTTGAGGAATAGATTTCTTCTAATTCTGAAAGAACTTTATACAACAACCTAGTGTACAATAAGACCCTCAGATGTGAAGTTCATGTGAAAAAAAAAAACCATTGCTGAGCAGCACTGCTTCAGTGAAGACAAATACAGTGTGGTCAGAGAGCTTCGTCGAAACAGTCTTCCCCTCCTTTTCCAGTGGCAAAAATTTAGCTTTTCTTTTTTTTTTTTTTTTTTTTTTTTTTTTTTT